GTTAATAAATATATTTGTTATACGAAAGCTTTGTGTCTGTGGTCGCTGTGAGTATCCATGACGTCACACTATCATGTATTATATTAACAAGAATAATATAATTGTTTCTTAACGCATTACATCAATATCATGTAATCTTTTTTAAAAGCAGGAAGTTTTCTTTATATTTAATTGGTTTCTCTTCATGAAACCAATTAAATTGATTAACAAAATTTTCACCTAATCTTATTCTTTGAAAATGTATTACAATGGTTAAACAAATTTGTGTATTATCGAATATTAAGTAAATTATTGGGCAGACGTGTTAACAACATTACTGTACTACAAAGATATTTGTCATTAAATCGACATGTTAAGTTCCATCAGTATTAAAACATTTTAATAATTACATATGTTCGAAGAAATGCCAGACCAACCAGATGTTTCCTGGTTTACGCCAAGTTGCTCTAAACACTACGTTACCGAGACTTGTTACTTAGTAACAAGGTGACGACTGTATTTCATTACTGTGGCATATTTCCTAGCGTATTTGCCTCCAAAAATTGACAGGGTGGTGACTATGTTTTACAGCATTTGTTGATTGGTGACATACAGTGGGGTATGGCAAAATATACTACTTTTTAACTATTAAAGGAGGGGGTTCGAAGGGTTCGAGTGTAAAACAAAACATACAAAAACGATTTTGAGATAAAACTAAGTGAATATTTTTGTTTAAAGGATGTAAATTATTAAAAGAAGTTTACTAAACGGGGCATTATATAAGTCACTAATTGAACTATTGGATAGTCGCGTTGCATTGACAACACAAATAACTGAAGGCAAACATTATAATATCACGAAAACTACTGTTCTTCCACACACTATTATTTTTCGCCCTACTCATTAATTTCTATAAAAATATGTTTCTTCAATTTGGTGCCTTTTCTAAATGTAGAAGGCAGACATCATGGCACTGAGTCAGCATCCTGCCAGCAAGGAAAAGGGGTCTCGGAATAGTCACATCCCTATCGTTTTCTCAGGCTTTTTTTGGTAAGGGGATTTTATGCTTGCTTGGCAGTGCAGCGAACACAAGGGGACTTACATATATATTTACTTATCAAAAACCTTTACAAACTGTGTGACATACTAAAGGAAAAGTGCAATTTGTTCACGTTGCGCGAGATCTCGGATCTCTGTTCTAACTTATATACATATTTAGTTTATTCATGCATTCAAACAGCAACGACCGTTATTGGGAGGAATATGCATGAAAATATTACCTCCGTGTAATAAATACTATTTGAAAGCATAAATCAGCCACGGATTTATGCTCTTATTCCTTATCATTCTTTTTGTAGAGGAATCAACTTACTGCCGTTGGAAAATGGAGAACGATTATTTCAATAACTTCGTTCCCTGCAGAGCTCACGAAAACGTGCACAGATAGTTAGGCTACATTTATGCCACGAAGCAAAATAAGAGGCCGTCTCAACATTTGTTCAAACAGTCAGGGCAACTGGGCAAACAAACTGATCGGCAAATTACTTGAGAATATGTTTTTATCGTGTTAAACGTCTTCAATATGGGTTACAATATTTGTATATTTCTCGGGAATATTTCTGTGCGGATATCAGTATCTACTCATTGAATTATATTACCGCGAAGCTTTTCTACAGGATACATATTTTGTTTCGCGGTGGTGCCAGAAAAAGGACAGCTCTCGTAAAACGGCGAACGTGTGTGTGAAGAACTATCCATTCTACGTCCATGGAAGGTCTACGTCACAACCCAACTTTTAAGTGACGGGGAAAAAACGGAGCGCCTGTGACAAATATCCAGAGATAAAAGAGGTCAGCAAAACGTCTGCAACTCATTAATTCCAGAAAGCGAGATAACTGATACCTCCGTGCTCGCTAACGTTCAACGCTCTTTTTGAGACGCAATTTTTCAATTGCGTCATAAATGAGGAGGGTGATCCTTGCGAATTCCAAACGAGCTCGTTCCACAGAGATGATTTGCATCAGTGCATGAAAATCGTATTTATTTTTCCAACGAGGGTTAACGACTTTACCTTTCATTCCTGGCTGATGATGGAGAAAATTCAGTTATCTTGGCCTTGATCTGGCACAGCTGTTTACCGATCCAATTATTCTAAATCTGTTTCGCTGAAATCGCTCGCCTCCACGTGTTTTTGTGCATTCCCAGAGTGTCT